TTATTTGTTCAATTTTATATGAATTAGATAGCTCGAAAGTAATTACACTAATAGGATTCCTGAAGGTAATCATGTAGGATTCCTAACGTGTAGTGTTATGTTCTAAAACTAATAGGATTATAAGGCTAATATCGAGAATTTCGGTTATGTCCTTTTATTATGAATTATTATGCTTAATATTATAAGGTTATCTTTGTAAACCGATATTTTTTTCCTAAAAATTGCCTCTTTTTTTATATTTTTTATAATAATGTTTATAAGGCACAAAAAATTCAAACTTTAAAATGTATCACCTTTATTAGTTACCAACTTATCATCATAACTTTCAAGTTCATACTTTGGTCAAAAAAAGTCTATCACTTTATGCTACAACAATAAATCTTGAATTACTCCCTGGACCGATACATAATTGACCTAAAGAGAACAATCAAAGAAAAAGAGAAGAACACGATAGATTATACTTTTGAGCACCAAGATATACAAATCTAATGACATTATTTCTGGCATTAACCGAAATCTTCTTGAAGATGAGAACATGCAAACTCATATTCGTTCGTGCATTTCTTACATTAAATTCTCATGTAATCGATATAGTTAAATTGCGAGTATCAATTTCTTGAAAGTCTTTTTTAATTTTACGAAATTCGTGCGTGCTCCAATGAATGAGGCAATGCACTCCTTTACATAGGGTAGTATGAGACGGCGGTGGAAATTAACAGTCCGAAAGTAATTATACTAATAGGATTCCTAAAGGTGATCATGTAGGATTCCTAACATGTAGTATTATGTCCTAAAACTAATAGGATTATAAGGCTAATATCTAGAATTTCGGTTATGTCCTTTTATTATGAGTTATTATGCTTAATATCATAAGGTTATTTTTGTAAACCGACATTGTATTCATGCTTTTATAATAATATAGAATAGATAAAAAATATGACTACCTTAAAAGAGAATCTTGAGCTGGATTTATTATAACTCAGTTCAATAAAATGTTTTATCATGTGTATGGAGGTCTGCAAAATAAGTAGTACTATTATATTATTATCTGGCATGAGGGCGCTTAATACGACGATTAAGATCTTTAAAATTTTCTTACTTGCTATTGAAAATTTATTTTGGATGACGCAAGCTAGGGGCCTAAATATTGGGTCATTGAATAACTACGACTTTTTTTTCCGAATTCAATAATTTTTGCTTAGATAGTGTATTTTTTTTTTAAAAAAAAATTGTTAATTATATACAAATATTAAATTTAGAACCTAATTATTAGCATTTGAAGCCATTCTTCTAAAATCCCAAACCCATAAAATAAAATCCTGGTATGTAGGGTTAGATTTTTGAGATCCAAAATAACTTCATAATCAATGTAAGAAGTGATTTAATTAATTGCATCGGATGAATCTACCCTAAAGGTGCTCTAAATGGTTTGAGATCTCAAGTATGAGAATCTCGAGGAAATTAACCAAAGGCTTTATTAATCTCAGCAGACTAAATATACTTTCTTTTTGTTATTCTATCTCCTATAAATCATTGGACTATAAAAGGTTGATAATGCCAATAATATTACCCCCAAAAAACCCGACTCCCAACCAGAGGCGGAGCTAGGTGGACGAAAGGGGTCGAACACCCTTCGCCAAAAATTGCACTATGTATATAAGATTAATTCTTTTTATGTATATATATTAGATGTTGAATTTTCTTAACTTATTGGCATATTTATTTTTTTTATTTTTTTAATTTCCTTGGTGAAACTACTGTTTTCGCCACGGCCCCAACCCAACCCCTTAAGGCAGCGCGATGGGATCGGTAGGACCGATCCTTAGGGACGGGTTTGGCCCGACCCTAAACGGTTAACAAGCTTATTTGTGGCTACGAGGGTGAGACTGAGTCAGAGCGGTGGCTAGGAGAGGTATAAAATATGGAAAACTCGGTTCAGATTGTGCTTATTTTAGTGCTCGTTGACAAATAAGCAAGTGACAATTACATTAGAATTTAGTTGAAAAATTTGAGCTAATAGAATACCGTCAGCATTTGTCAATTGGTCCTAATTAAAATATTACTATAAGGATTGGTCCAAACTTATTACTATAGTAAAGTAATAAGGATTTTAGTAGCAACTTGAACTTTTCCATGTGTATAAAATGTGACGAAGATTTCTATCGAGTTGAATTAGTTTTGTTGTATTTTTTACACTATTTATGTAATGTCATAGACTTACATGGATTATATGTGCACGTATCAAACATAAAATTCATCTATGAGTATTAACTAGAAATTTGGATGTCTGTGGAATTCAGCATTTTCTGCCACACCATTATGTACACAATAAGCTTTGTTACATAAATTGCCGCCTAAATTTACTGTTTACTTTTTCTAGCCGGTGTACACAGATTATACACACTTATACACATGCTGCACATGCCTTATACATATATTATATGTCTCCCGGCTATTTTTAGTATAAGAAATTGAATAAACGGCTATTTGGGTTAATTCTTTTTAAAATATGTTGTAGAAATGACACTAGGTAGCCACTCTAAAGGGCTGTTATTTAGGAGTTAGCTAGCACGTCCTGAATTTCAGTTTTTCAATTCAATTTTTTCAGGACAAAAATGTCATGAGTTGTCCTCAAGTTAGATTTTTTAGTTTAAAATTTAGGACAAAATAAGTACCGGCTAACACCTAAATAGCATCCTAGAGAATGGCTATCTGTGCACTTGCCCCATATATGCCCAACCCAATTTATTGGGTAGGTTATATTTCCATGGACTAAATTTGACACTCTTAAATGGGGAAAAAATAAAAAATAGCCAGATTTACAAGTGGTCATTCAAAAATAGCCACAGTTTCAAAAGTAGAAATTTAGCCACTTTTCATGTAAAGATAAATCTGAACGAAAACACTGTTCAAAGTCCGGAAAAATACTCCAGTATAATATGCTCGAGTTCCAGTATACTTATTTTGGAACTCCAGTATAATATACCGGTCCAGCATAATATACTGAAACTTTCCACGTGTTGGAGTTCCAGCATAATATGCTGGAAGTTCATACACAGGTGCACCGATCTCCAGTATATTATGCTGGAACTTTCCGTGTTGCAGTAAAATAGTGGCTATTTTTCAATGACTTTGCAAATGCTGGCTATTTTTGAATGGCCAGTCCGAAAACTGGCTAGCCGTGCTATTTTTACTCTTAGATGTGATCTAGCTTCCGGAACTCCTTATCCCTAAAAACAAACAAATAAATAAATAGTAAATGGATAAAGAAATGAAGCTGATAGCTATATATCCTTATCATTGTTGTAAATTACGTAGGAGAAACGAAACAATGTGTGGGACAATGGCAATTGTCATAGCCTTATCCACAGTCATATATTATCTTTATCTCATTAGCATTTAATTGCCAAAATCCAATCGTCAATCAAATGAACCAAATGGACAGTCAAAAATATGAAGAAAGACCAACAATTTTGGCTATGAAAGGCCATCCAGGCACTGGAAAGAGTACATTAGCATACTCTATAGCTAAAACTCTCAAATGTCCAATTATAGACAAAGATCATTTCAAAGATTGCACCAAACCTCTTCAACAAGTCCTCATGCAATCATCAAAACTCCTCAATGACCTATCATATGAAGCCATGTGGCAAGTCGCCTCGGCTCAGCTAGACGTGGGGCTCAGCGTGGTGATCGACTCGCCACTCTCTCGTCGAGCTCATCTTGACCGGCTCCTCGAGCTGGCAGCTCGTAGACGAGCTCGGGTCGTTATCGTGGAGTGTAAGCCGAAAGATGAGGCCGAGTGGCGCAGGCGGCTCGAGCATAGGAGTGAGGTGGATGGCTCAAGCTGGCACAAGCCATCTACATGGCAAGAAATGGAAAAGTTGTTGGAAGGATATGAAGGATGTTGGGATTATGATATTGGTAATGTTCCAAGACTTATTGTGGATACTACAGCTGCTAAAGGGATTGAAGAAATAGTTTCTTCTGTGTTAGAATTTCTTAATGGATGTAGTGTTAAAAGAGTCAATGGTACTAGCACTTCACTAACTGAGAATTTAGAATGAGATGAATTTTGATATTTAAACAAGAATAGGTGAAAATCAAGGTTTATATTTCAAGATCAGCCACTTTGATGTACTTTATTGTGTTAATAGAGGTGTCAAATGGGCGGGTTGGACTTATTTTGGGCGGGTCAAAATAAGTTAAGTCAATAAATAGACGGGTTAATGACTCGCCCAAAAGTAACGTGGGCTGAGTCAAATTCAGTTAAATTTGGGACATAGCCCAACCCGCCCAACTCTTACTAAGCTTTTATTAATGTGTATTATTTTCTTATGAATTGTTTAATTATCAAATAAGACTTTTTTTCTTTTGTTATGGTCATTTATAACATATTAAACAAAAAAAAAATATTTTAATAATATTTTAGCAAAGTTATTCATGGATCAATTTGGACTCTTTAGATGGACTAAAATGGGTCGGGTCAAGATAGTTCAATAAACGGGCGAGTCAATAACCAGCCCAACCTTGGGTAGGTTGGGCGGGTCAAATGAGTTCAAATTGCCACCCCTAATTGTGCATTTTGATCCAGCAAGATATAACACTTGGAGAGGACATTAAGTTAAAACAAGGTTCACTTCTTTTAATAGCTTAAATTCTTACACAAGATCAAATGATTATAATTGAATGAATTGCTTGTGTGCAGAGATTATCGAAAACGGCCTCTATACCTCACAAAGTTAAGGCTGCATACACACTACCCTCCCCAGACACCACTTGTAGAATTTCACTAGGATTTCTCAATAACCAACAAGTTTCTGCCGATGTGATTTAACACCATGTCTATGAAAGAAATAAGGAAAAGAGCAAAAAAAATACCCCTCTACTATTCGAAAACGATTATTTAGAGAGGTATAAGTAATCCAATTTTCTGGAATCTATATGCAGGGGTCTTCAGAAAGCAAAATCTTGAAATAAGTAAATTTCTGGAGAATACATGCTCTAAACTAAAGATCTCTTTTTGTATATATCACCATAAACTAAACAATTTGCAATTCACAATATGTAACATAGGAAAACAAGAAATAAAAATCATTCCTTCACCCCCACAATCAATCCCCTCCCCTATATACCTTACTACAATGTGATTACCTAAATTGTATGCAGATGTTACTTATACAATTTCTTCTTTACAAACAAGCTACCAAAAGAAGGGGAGCCTTGGCGTAACTAGTAATGTTGCTGCCATGTGACTAGGAGGCCACAAGTACGAGCCGTAGAAACAGCCTCTTGCAGAAATGTAGGGTAAGGTTGCTACAATAGACCCTTCCGGTCCGGCCCTTCTTCGAACGCCGCGCATCGCGTGAGTTTAGTGCATCGGGCTGCCCTTAAACAAGCTACCAAAAGCAAGAACCAAAAACAGGAAGAACAAGCAGATTAGTACTATACTATATGGAGCTCAATCACGTAAAGCTCATGACCGATGTTCAAGGCTAGCGATGTAGCTAAGGAGAGTACCTACTTCTTCCTAATCTTGTGGCTAACCCTAGTCTTTGGGGACGATGAGGAGGAGGAAGATGCAGAGAAGCCTTCCCAATACTTTTCAGCTTTGTCTTTGTTGAATGCCTTCATAACGTCATCCTTGAGTTCTGTATATCGCATCTTCTTTAATCTTTGTTCCTCAGCGGTGCCTCTTTCCAACGTTAAGGAATCTAGCAAGTCGTCCTCTAGTAATCTATCTAAAACCTCGGAGCAATTAGGGAAGAAACGTTGACCTGTCTCCACTGCAGTTTGGGTTAAAAAACACAATATTGAGAAAGACTAAACGGATAAAGCACCATTCCTACTATAAACGAAGTTTGCGGTGAACTATAAACATGCAAGAATATGTTCTATGGTCCAATGATTATCTTTTGAAATTTCAAAAGTTTAATCCTTCTTTAGGAATTCTCCCTCCTCCTTTTTTTCAATAAGGTACAAAGAATGACAAAGAGTTAATATTACCTGTTTTCTGCAGTGCGCACAACCGTTCTTGGAGTCTTTTCACTTGCTCAGATGGCAATTCGTTCAAGTCAACCCCCCTCAGATTTCTAGATAAGCCATTTGTTGCTGAAATTCCAGTAAACTCCAACGTCGAATTAGCATGTGCTTTTTCCATAGCCAGCTTGGCTTCATGAGGAAATAACATTCGCGCCAATGCCACTGCAAGAAAATACATATTAGGTACATTTCAAATAATGTAATGTGAGGAGAAGAGAATGGTGAGAGCCTACTAACATCAACTAGACTTTAACACTTTTATTACCCCATAATTATGTAAAGCGAGCGTTCTTCTGACAGATAAAACTTCAGTCTAAGGACAGAATTAGCGAGAAAGCTTCTTGATTTTTGCTAATACAAACAACTATACTAAGCATTGGATTTCAAATGAATTGGACAGCTCGGATAAGTGTATAAATGTAAATACTCAATCACTAGTAGAGTTTACTTCAGAGTATAGTTGAACTAAGTTACCTCTATTTTCAAATAAAAGCAACCTCATGAGTAATTCATCAGCCAACACCAATGATGACGAAGACATGATCCCGACCATAGGATTCCTAATCGTCTCTCTCTCCAAAATATCAATGCAGATGCGGTCCTTATTAGTTTCTTTCCCTTGCTTCGTTGGCTCATTATAATCCTTTGGCCGAGTCAATCTCCGGCAGATAGATAGTGCTGTGTTTCCATCCCGTGTAGTATTCAAGACAGATGCTCCTTTTTCAAGTAGTCCCATTATTATTGATGGCTCCTTTCGTCTAGCAGCAACGTGAAGGACGTTATATCCTCGGGAGTTCTGAAGATTCACATCAGCTAAATCCAGCTCGAGGACCTCATTCACAACCTTGGAGTTACAATAGGCAGCTGCATAATGAAGAGCACAAGCATCGTCTAAAGTGACATTAGACTCTTCAAGAAGTAACTTAAGCAATTCAATGTCATCGGATTCCAGAGCCTTCAGAATCCTCCTAATTCTCTTTTCACTCAAGGAGTCCACTTCTATCAAATCATTTTCAAGTTCTTGTCGAGACTTGAGGCGCCTTGTTTTTATGTCAGTCAAAACTTCATGAGGGAGTTCTTTCTCAAGAGTAGCATTGTCTAGATCAGATCGTGCCACTCTCTGGATGCAGTGCTCAAGAAGTTGGTTAGATGAGCAGTGAAAGGCAACTAAAAGTATAGGAATTACATCCTCTGGAGTAGCCTTATCAACGAAGTTGACAAGACGACGCTGCAGACGAACAGAATATTCTTCAGATGAAAAACAATGTAACTACAAAGTTAGAAGCAATTGAAATCTTATAGAAAGCTTCTGTGATTTCTTAACTAGTAGAATGCCACCATAACTTCAATATCTAAGTCTTTCTTTTATGTATTATCAAGAAACATATACAGTACTAGAATAACTCGGGACTTAAAATCTAGCTGTCACATCCTACATATTGATCAGATCCTAACTACAATAGCTATACCTCAATCTCAATAAATGCTCAATATCATAAATTCTTTGTTTGGGTCCATAATATCTCAATACTCCATGCTTAAGGATTATCTAACGCGATTAGAACGAACTCATGCAGGATGTTAATCTTAAGTCTCAAATTGTGCATAGGGCAAACAGAGTTTATCTGCAGCAGGAATCATTCAGGAATTTGATAAATGTACATCATTTAAACTCGACAAAGTAAATCTCGTAGAGTTCTTTTGTGAAAAAGTGACAAAAACGACAATGATAAAGCTTTTCTATAATAAAATTACTTCTACTTCTGTCCAAATTCTAAACTAATGTGGGACATCTTGTCCTCTTCAGACCATCATCCAGTCTGTGATAGCAGTTTTCATGGTGTCAGTATTATGATGAATTATTGTAAGTTAAGAATGAAGCAGCAACTCTTAAATGACGATTATTTTTGTTTATAAGCTGCTTCACTAGGCTAAAAGGTGATGTTTTTATGCCATCAGCATTCTCAACACAAAATCCTTATATGAGATAAACATGAAAACAATGTCAAGAAATTGCGTCTAAGTCAAGCATTTTATTTATATTCAGTATGCTTTGCATTTTCGAACAAACTCTATCACAGGGATAGTTCTACGATAGTTCAAGAATGAGAGCCAAATGCATGTGGTATTTGTTAAGAAAATAGAATTTAACCAGCACAACAACCACTAACCTCTACTACCATAACGAGTTCGTTGATTTGAAAGGTGGATGAAGCATACATGAGTTCCACAAAATAATTAATGGCAGGGCGACAAGCATCATGAGCGCACACATTATCAACACAAGTCGAAACTTCTGGAGGAGAAGGCTTAATCTTTCCAGTATACAAATAATTCAAGAAGACCATGAATACTTCATAGCCAACTGAGGCGAAAGGCACCAAATCCTTCAGAAAATACTTAGGCTTTTCATCTTTCGATGAATTCTCATTGTGCTTCTTAAACTTTTCGTGGAAAAACTGGCTTCGTGCAGCCAAAATACAGCGATTAACACCAACACTAATCCCCTCAACGACTATCTCTGCATCGCTATAGTCATATTCAGGATTAAGCAGGAGTTTCTCAAGACTACCACTTAGATTACTCAAAAGATCAAGATTTGGCCCTGGTTCTTGGGGGCTACTGCAACCGTTTGATACATAAGAAGATGAAGCAAAACTCAAGGATGACGAAAGCTCGTTTCCACTCTCCATTAGTCCAACTTAATTGGTAATTTACTAGCAAAAATTCATCCCTGAGAGAGCAAGAATATAACTAATAAGCCCAGCCATGATCAAACATTTAATGATTTCAGACTCCAAATCCTTGCATCAAAAAAAAATCATTCCACCAAATAGTTAACTCTATTCCAAAATCACCATTCAAAGTAAAGTTTTAAGACAAAATCAGAAACATATCACCTCAAATGGACAAGGGATAGGCTAAAAAAGTCAACCTTTTATCAGATTCCCAATATATAGTTTTCACAACTTACTTAAAAAACAGCTCCCCTTCTTCTTAACAACACCAAATATTCAATCTTTTAGCTACCCACTTCCCCAAACAGAGCAAATACCTCAAGAAATCAGGCAAAAAATTGGTTAAGTCAAAAAGTCAACGCTATGTCACCTTAGCCCACAGCCTCAGAAAATATGCTTGAACTGAATAGTTGAGAATGAGACAATCGGAAATTTCACTAATTTTCAGCACCCCTTCTTCTTAACAACACCAAAAATTCAATCTTTGAGCTACCCACTTCCCCAAGTAGAGAAAATACCTCAAGAAATCAGGCAAAATTGCTAAAGTCAATAAGTCAACGCTATGTGTTCTTAGCCGATAATCTCAGAAAATATGCTTCAACTGAATAGTTGAGAATGAGAGATAATTTCACTGATTTTCATCACCCCTTTCTTATTAACAGCATCAAGAATCTATCTTTAAGCTACCGATTTTTCCCAAACAGGGAAAATACCTGAAGAAAAAGAATAATAAATCTTTTCAAGAATCTGAAAAAGTTGCTAAAGTCAACGAGTCAACGTTGCATGATCTTAGCCCAAAATCTCACACCTGCTTAAAAATTAAAAAAACATAATGACCCTCATTACTTTTTGTGAAAATCTGCTGGTGAAAACAATCATTTGGGCATAAACATGAAAAAAATAAAATAAAGAGTGTGCTTGATGCTTACCAAAAATAGTAGTCAAGAAGTGATTGCTGTGACTGACTATGAAGTAGTAGCAATGATTTGAGTTGAAAAAAGGAAATGAAATTAATGAAAATTAAAAGGAACTCCAAAATGGAAACTGCTAAAAAGAGAGTGAAATTGAAAAAAATAACAGAGATATGGAAAGAGGAACAATAGTGAGTGGTCCTGGTGCATGTATCAAGTTGTAATAGTATATGTTTACGTATAATTTTATTACCTAATACGTAATTCTATTACTTAATTATACATTATTCTAATAGTACTACAGTCAAACCTCTATATAACAGCCTCGTTTGTTCTGAATGTTTTTGAATGTTATAGCGAAGTGCTGTTATGGAGAACATATATATATTATAACATAACATAAAAATTGGTTCCGGAAAAGCTTGGCTTTTATAGTGAAGTGTTGTTATATAGGCAGTGGCAAATCCAGAAATTTCCTCAAGGGTGTTCAAACTTGAAATAAGTATAAAATAATTCCGACAAAGGGTGTTCAATATATGTTATATACAGCGGCGGAGCCACATGCACCAAAGGCAGGGGCGGACCTAGTGCATATACTACGGGTTCCCGAGAACCCAGTAACTCTTGCGTAGACCCTATATTTATATTAAGAAATTCACTAAATATTGGTAAATATGTGACTGTGAACCCAGTTATTATTGCATATTAATCTGAAATTACGGTAGGAACCCATAAGTCTCAAATCCTGGATCCGCGTCCAAAGGGGTGTCAACCGACACCCCTTCACCGGAAAATTACACTGTATAGCTTGGTAATTTTTTTAAAAATATGCATATATACTATATAATGACACCCCTTAACTTCTTGGTGAGTTTATTTCTTTATATTTTGACTCCCCTTAGTGAAAATCATGGCTCCGCCATTGGTTATATACCTCTAAAACCTAATATTTTACGTATATACGCAATGTAATTTTCCGACAAAGGGTGGTCAATGACCACCCTAAGCAAAGTGTGGCTTCGCTCATGTATATAGAGATGCTATTATAGAGAGGTCTGACTGTATATACTTACTCCTACTACTTTCTTTATTTTGATTTGCTATTGTATTAAGTTAAACAAACCTGATTTGGTTTATAAACCATTACATTTCAGTTTACGTGATAAAATTTACTTTTTAATCTAGAAAGAAAAAAAGAAATGTTATAAATTTAAATTAATTTAACTTATATCTTTAATGATAAGCTTTAATAAGCATATAAATAATATAACATATTTAAAATTATAAGTTTCACATGTATATAACCATACACCTCTCCTGTCTCCTCTTCAGATGTGTCCTTAGTACCTGGTGATTTTTTGTTCTCCGCTTTATATAATCAAACTATGTCGCATAAATTCAAAACGATAATTAGAACGCGATTGGTGGGCCCAAACCGTGTTCGTAGGAATTGGGACGGTGCGGAAAATTAAAGAGTAAAATATTACTCCTTATTTATATAGAGAAAAAACAACAACAATCTTTGACTAGACATTGGCGTTTACTACTTTTAATATTCAGATGCCCTTACACATAACTACACTTTTAGACAGGCACACTAAGGGGTCGTTTGGTAGGTTAGAAAAAATAATGCAAGCATTAGCTCTGTGTATTACTAATACCTTATTTGATATATTTTTTCAATATGTGTATATTTAATGTTTGTATTAGTTATACATCATACTTGATATTATCCTATGTATAAGTAATGCATAGAAAATCATGACATTAGTAATACCAAGGCTATTAATGCATGCATTAGTATGGTTAAAGATAAAATTGTCCTTAAAGTCCCTTAAAGCTAGAGAATATGGAGGGCATTTTTGCAAACAACTATTTTTCTTAAAAATTATGCACTGCATTATAATTTTTAATATACCATACCACCTAGTAGATAAGAAATAATACTTGCACAACTAATGCTTGCATTACTAACCCATATACATTACTAATTCCTGCATTACTAATACACCTTATTTTGCACTATTCTTATACACCCTAATAAACGACCCCTAAGACAAACAACACATGAATAGACAAATCAATTGTAAGCGAACTATTAAAGGTAAGTATTCCTTTATTTTCAAACAGACGTCTCGTATTCAGTGGTGTAGCCAAAAATTCTGTCAAGGGTATTCAAACTTTAGAAAAATTAATAATTTCTTTTATCGATAAATAGTATATCAAAATTTTTAGATCAAACTATGCAATATTTACCTAAACAATAAAAAAAAATTAATAGAACAATAATTTTATAAATCAAAATTATAATAATAAAAAAAATTAACATTAAAAATTTTAGTTTGTGGAGAGCTTTGTTGAAGAATTTTTTGTAAAGATTGGCTTTTAAATTATAAAATTTATTTAAGAAATAACTTTTGGTTAAAAAATTACTTTATAGATTTGTTGTTTATTTTTGCACAAGTTTTAGGTTTAAGAATTATTTTATTAGAATTTTTTTAGTTTGAAAACGAATTAAAATAGATCATACATGGTGGTCTCCGTTTAGTTTTGACAAATAAAATGTGCCAAATTATGAAGCTATGAACAACAAGCCACTTTTAACACTCTAAACCGCTAAACTGCATCACTCAATTGTGCTAACGATGGTCAAATATAATATATAATTATATAAAAAAATATTTAACTTATATACATAGCATAATTTTTTACAAAAGGTGTACGCTTGACCATCTTGACATAGGATGGCTACGCCACTGTATTGAAATAAGAAATGAATTATAAACGCACCACTAAATATGAAATATGTCAGCTGTGACGAATATAAGGCCTCGTAAAACTTAAAGAATAATAAGATGAAAATATCTTCTCGACGTGAACTGCACTTGAGTCTTGACGGTGAGATTTACTGTACACTAAGGTTGCTGTCCTCATTTTTATTGCCTTTATTTATTGCTATTTGATTCATTTATTGCCACTAACAAAGTGCAAACCGCAAAAGGCCAAATATATCCATGTATTATAGGAAAAAGTTTAGATATATCATTTATTATATTTTGGGTCCAAATATATTTTTGCGGTAATATTACTGGATTAAATATAACCCTTTTCTATTAAGTTTGTCTAATATGGACATTCAATCCTACGTGACACTGATATTTGATGAGGTGGATGTCACATGGCATGCCGCCTCAACGCCCCTAATCTATATATAAAGACTAAAATTTGAAATACAATATTTTTCATGGTATAGCGATAATGATAGCAATAGTGGTGGAGGGGAAGGAAATTTNTGAGGTGTTGAGGTGTCTCCCATGGCGGACAACTCTAGATATGACAATGGCAAACCAGCTAGGTGAAGAAGAAGAAGCAGATTTAGAGCCCTAATTGCTCTGATACCACTAACAAAGTGCAAACCGCAAAAGGCCAAATATATCCATGTATTATAGGAAAAAGTTTAGATATATCATTTATTATATTTTGGGTCCAAATATATTTTTGCGGTAATATTACTGGATTAAATATAACCCTTTTCTATTAAGTTTGTCTAATATGGACATTCAACCCTACGTGACACTGATATTTGATGAGGTGGATGTCACAGTGGCATCGCCGCCTACCAACCGTCCCCTAATCTATAATAATAAAACGTANGAAATTTTAGTAGTGGAACAAAAATAGAAGGGAGGGGTAAAATGGATTAGGGGAACTAAGGTGGGAAGCCATGTGACATCCACCTCATCAAAAGGCAGTACCACGTAGGATTGGATGTCCACTTTGGACAAATTTAACAGAAAATAGGTATATTTAAACCAATAGTATAACGACATGGATATATTTGAACTCAAAATATAACGAGAGATACATTTAAACCTTTTCTATAGTTTATGGGTATATTTGGCCGTTTCCCTTTTAGCAAATACTATGTAACATTTAAAGTGTAAACAATATATCATATAGCTTAATTTTCAACTCCTCTAAGTAAATAAAGTACCACTTTAATAGCAGCTAAAAGAATAACCATACTTTGCTATGTTTGTTGAAGGTGTGCTTTTTAAGATTTACCTCAGAAAAATAGAAGAATCGACCTAAATAGCCGTACGCCTAATCACTTAAATTAAAAATAGTCGGTAAAGGTATAATATATGCATAATTTATGTGTTATATGTATATAATTATGTATAATTAATATATAATCCATGTATATGGCTAGAAAAAATAAACATTGAATATGAGCAGTATTTGTGTGAAAATGAATTTTAGTACTACTTGCTCATTTGTTAGAAAAAAAAAATCGTCTCTTTTCATTTCACCTCCAGCCACGAAATATATTAACACAATTAAAAGGAGTCAAATCAACGAAAATAAGACATTTCTACCATAATAAAATTGATTGGATAGTAATACCTCGTTAGCTCGTGGTTGCAACATTTTGTCTATTTGTTTGACCTTCGTTGCTCGAGCCGCCATTGCCTAAGGTGTTGAACTGGGTGATTCTTATACTAACAACTAATTTTGAACAACGAATGAAGAGAGAATGTCTGACTTCTCTCTAGAAAACTTTGAAGAAGAACCCTAGTTCCCTCTCTCAATTATCCACAACATCACTTCATCAACTGCCATACCAAAAGCTCCATGCTAGACAAACTGAACCTAGAACAACAACACCATGCAACAACTACACAAACCCCCAACGGGAACGACACAGAAATGAACGAATATGATGATAACACAGCTACAAAGAGTTCACGCTAGTCTTTGAACTCCCAAGCAATGGGTGGCCATCAAAACCACCCAGAACACTGTGATGACAAACAAGACCAAAAAACTACTTTCTTAACCAAACTGCAAGAAAACTTAGACATCTCTAAAATAAAAAACCAAATAGCAGTGCAAAAATCTATCCTTGGCTTTGATACTTCGGACGAAATTGAAAACAACTTTGACTCGGACAATTTCATACCCATTACTTCGGAGGATAAGGAAAGAATATATAAAAATTGGGAAAATTCTCTAATAATAAAAATTTTCGGCAGACGAGTAACTTACAATTCCTACAACAAAAAATACATGCTATATGGAGACCTACTGAGCACTTAACACTAATTGAACTTGGATATGATTATTACCTCATAAAATTCAATAGACAGGAAAACTACGACAAGGCACTGCACGGGGGACCTTGG